TCAGCTGCTAGGCAAAGCGTGTTTATTTTAGCACAAAGGCACTACAGACTAAGCTTGAAATATTCTGGAACTGGTGCTTAAATGACCTTGAGGTCATCCTGGAGGTCCCACAGCTAAATGGATTAGACAGACGTGTTAAGGATGAGCAGTACAAAAAAGCACGAGGATCAAACCTCCTGTCAGGGAAAATAACATGAAATCTTGTAACAACAAGTGAAGATGATAGGGTTGAAATGCCCAAGAATTTTAATTGTCTGAATTCTTGCAGATCGGAGATGAACTAAATTCAGGGTGAAATGAAAGTAAAATGTGATCGGGAGCCAGTAGTTTAAGACATGTATTAGAGCAATTGGTCCTGAAAGTGGCAAGTTGTGCGTTAAAATTCCTAGGTTTATCAAAGGGTGTCACCCCTGCAGTCATCTCAAAGTGATGCATATTTAAACTAAGTAGTGATCAGTCTGATTCCTTAGCTGTAGTCGATCCTTAGACTGTAGTCTAAGGATCAGCTGAAGCCTGATGCTTCCTGTTGGTGAAATTATGACAGCATGTCTGTGCCCAGACAAAATCCGTGCTAGTCTCTGCCGGCCCCGAGTCAGAAGTATCACTGTGAGGGGACTTGTCTAATTGAAAGTATGTGTAGGATTCTCGCTATTTAGTGAAGCCCAGCACAGCATCTGCCTGCTGTTGACACCAGAAAAGAAAACAGGCATTTTCTAAGAAGTGGAGGTCAAATTTGTAAAAGTAAATAGCACTGGCTTCTGCTGTTGAAGCTCTCTGTTTCTGAGGAGCCTGGGAAATAGGCACGTGTTTTGGTCCCCAAAGCCTTACTTTTGCATGCGCAAACACAAGTCACTGGGTCAGAGACCAGCCCTGCAGGCTGCCCACGGAGCTGGGACCGGTGGCTACCTCTGCGCTAGCAAACAGGGCTGGCTCAGGGGCTTGGGCACTGTCCCATGCACATTCATGTTGCTTCTTTACTAGCACGATTTTGCCACGCTGGCTAGCATCTCCCAGACAGTACCTGGTTTGGGAGAGAACACGAGCCAGGGGCTGATCCTGGTAGGTGGTATGGATGAGGCTACGCCATCCAAGGAGGGAAGGGAGACCAGTGTATGGACGTGAGCCATTGCCGCGCTGCTCTCCTTGGTGCTGTGAAGCCATCCCAGCCTCGTTTGTTTTACTGCTGTTGACGTAGCCAGAACATCCGTTTCCCAGCTCCACTGAGATAGTCCCCAGTGCAATCACGGGGAAGTGAACTTTTCCTGTATCTTGGTTTCCCATGTGCAAGATGGGGAGATGTTTCCTTACCTCAGAGGGATGGTGTAAGAAATCCATCTGTGTGTGGGGAAGGGGAGGCTGAGAGGGGCAAACACAGAAATCTGCTTTGTTTGCAAGCTCTGGTTCCCTGATTTGGGCTCTATTCCTTCAGCAGCTCCATGGGCTTTTCCTGAGCGCCACTTGGTTACTCATTTTTCTAATGAATTTTCTTCTGTGCTTCTGCCAAGTGCTTTAAGAAGAGAAAGTCATGGAGAGGTATGGAGCTAAAAGTAGTCAAAATGACCACCTGTTCCCTCAAGAAAATAATAAAGCATTCCCCCCTTCCCTCCTCAAAGTCCTCTTGTGTTAGCACCTCTTCTTCATGTGCCCACGTAAAGTCAACAGCCAAATTATAAATCCTTTTTAAAGGGGTTTATCCCCCTGCTAAAGGAGCTTACAGCAAAACCCTAGACACAGAGTGCTCGCTGTGACAGCTCCTCTGAGGGTCTGTTGCAATCAATCTTGACCTGCTAATGTCAATGGGTTAAAAATATACCTGGTGTAGGATACCTGTTAAGTGCTTTTTTTTTTTTTTGTCACTGTAGAAGAATGATTTGGTGGCAACCCATGAAGTGTGACCCCCCTCTGCTGGAATGGATACTGCTCACACACCTGTCAGGGCCTTTATCCAAAAAAGTCCTAATTTTATGATGCACGTGTTTTTCCCTTACCATTGCTGGTTTGTCTTTATGAAGAGGCATTGCATAGAGACGGAAAGTCGCTTGGGCAGCTGGATATTTTACTGAGCTAGAGCACATGTTATCTTGTAACTTAAAATAAATACAAGTTCAGCGTTTCATTTCTTCATTTTTAATAGTGCCAAATCCCAGTGCCGTATATAAATCGGTGGGAGTTTTGCATGAGTATTGCTTGCTGCGTTAGGCCTATTGGTAAGCCTCTTGCTCCAACGCTCGACAACGGCATTGCAAATCCCTTGCGTCCTGGTGTTGCGCCTTCCCCTCCCCAGGGACCTGAGCTCCCTGCTAATGCTGGAGAACGTGTCAGGCTTATCTGTATGGAAAGGCAGAGGGGGGGTTATTGTATGAAGACGCACCTTGGATTATTTGGCCACAAAGCTAATGAGTCCAAGATTAGATATTTTTGTTTTGGGCTCAGGGCCCTGTTTTGATGTCAGTAACCTTGGCAGAATATCAGTGTGAGATAAATCAGGGCAGAATGTTTTAGCCTAAAACGAATATCCTCCTGGGAGCAGACGCTGAAATAACGTGCACAGTGCAAATTACATTTTCTTCTGTTATCTGAGGTGCCAGTCTGGGTACAGAAAGGCCATCGTGCGACCCTTGCCTGCCTGTCGTGTTGGTTGTGCTTTGATTAGGTTTGCGAAAGCATGGAAGCCTGCATCCCTGGGGTACGTTGTTCCTTGGATGCTTTTGCCTGGCGGGATCTGCACCCTGCTGAGAACGCTCTGAAAGAGCTGCTGATTGCACCAGTAGGTAGGGCATGAGGCCGAGGGCACTGTGCTCCGTCAGGGACACTGCTCCCAGCATCCATGGGGACATCCCCAAGGTTGCGGAGGGAAGGAGGGCTGGGAGCGATGGTAAGTAATGGGTGGTGGGTGATGGAGCTGGCAGCAATGTCTGGGGCATCCTGTGCCCTGCCATGACACCACCGATGTGTGTATGTGCGGCCTCCTTGCCGCTGGGTTTGCTCAGCCCAGCTGGCTCGGATGGCCTTGGGGGCAGCCGTGGCAAGTTCTCCCTGGACCAAAAATGGAAATCTGGGTCCGTATGCAAGAATATACATCGAATATACTGAGGAGCAGTAAGCAGCGGGCTGTGACACTGTGATACTTTTGGTTTCTCGGGTTTTCCTCCAGTCTAATGTCTCTTTTCACATGACGGACTGGCTGAAACTATTTGACCTTGTTGAACAGACTGTGAGCCAAGGCCGCAGTCCAGCTGTGGTAGATAGCTGCATTTAGATCGTCTCTCACCTAATGGTCATGCAGTTGTCCCCTGTGGAGATTAAAAGGGAAACGGAGATGGAAAGCACATCAGAGTGGTGCTCTGGCTTGTATGTAGTCCAGTAAACACTCAGCTGAGTAGCACGTACAGCTTATCCAAGAAGTTGCTGCGCACACGCATCAGGGCTTATTTTTCAAGAAACATTGCCCTGATGGCTAAAAATTAGATTGAGTACAGACTAGTGGTGAAATGTTGGCTTGACTGAATTTTCTGGTAAAACTTTTGAGCTTCATTGGAGCCTTTAATTCCCCCTGAGAAGCAGCATGTGTCCTGTTCTAGCCTGAGAGTGCCCTCTGGTGTACACAGGGGATGATAAAGATTTCATTTATTGAATTAGCTTTACCTGGCTTCCTCATTTTCTTAATTCTTTCTAGCCAGTATGATTATTTGTTGAAGGCTGTCAAGTAGATTAAATGCCATAAAACACCCAGAGGTGAGCTCTAGACCTGTAGCTTGTTTTGCCTTCTAGACCTGTAGCTTGTTTTGCCTATTTAGAAATCGACACTGCTGATAATTTTTTTAATGACATTTACCACGTGCAGTGTATCAAGCATCGAGTGTCCAGGTTCGGACTTCCTTCCCAAGGTCTCTGGCAGCTCCCCGAAACCAGCCCGTGGCACGTCCTGGTGCTGTGCCTGGGCTGCATTGCTGCCCCTTGCCGCTGGCACAGCCCAGGGCGCGCACCTCGGGGTTTCTTACTGGAGCACAGCAGGGCGTCCGCTGAGGTGCTAGTTGGTAGTTTCAAAACCCTGGTTTAACAGAGAAAACGGGCTACAAAGCAGTAGAAGAAGCATTTTATAAATAAACAAATCATAATCTTTTTTTTCCAGAAGGATGATAGGCCATTTAGAAGAAGCAGAGGCAGTGTAAACACATGTTGCCATAGTTATGTGGAACTGGAAACAGATAGTAAATCTGAGGCATAAATACAAAAGCTGTTGTAAATATAAATCTTGCCCGTATGTAAAGCTGTTTCTTGGAGAACTCTGTCATCTTGTCTCTGTTAGGACGTTTTGGTTTGAGGGGGTAGGGGGAGTACAAAGCACAGTCAGGCTTTTAAACCTTGCTGGCATGATAATGGATGCGCTGGTGGAGAACAGAGATGAGCGTGTTCAGCGCTCCACCCCTGAATTTTACTTACGACAGATCAGATGATAAGAAGGATAAGATATTACAGTATCTTATCTTGCAGCTGCCAGTAGTAGGCAAAGTACCTTCCAATGGAACAGCACTGGTGTGAAACTTTTAAGGAGCAAGGGCTAGTGTGGCACCCTCTCTTCTCTCAGCAGGATGGCCCTCACTTGCTACTGGACCCTCTCTTGCAAGGTTATTTCATGTTGTGCTACATCTGCTAGGAGGTGGTCCAGGCTCGTCAGCCTAACTCCTTGCTGCCCAGAGGTGAGACTCTTGTTGTTAGGATCCAGTGATCAGCCTTCAGCAGTCACTGAGGACTGTCTGTGACAGAGAAGACATGCTGGAGGTTGGGAAGGCCTGTGCTGGAGGTGGATGCTGGTCTTCAGTTGTACAGCTATGGTGCTTTGATGTCCTTGTTGTAGAGCGCCTCAGTTATTTGTGATGCTTTCTGCTGCAAGATTAAGTGATCTGTGTCCAAAGGCATCTCCAGCCACCAGTTTTTGCTCACCTTTTTTCCCCGCTCTCTACTGACCTTTCTCATCTCCTTGTGTTTTTCTTCCTTAGGTCGGAAGCTGAGAGGAAAAGCCTTTTATTTTGTCAATGGAAAGGTGTTCTGTGAAGAAGATTTCCTGGTGAGCACACAGCTGACCCTTGTGCCTTCGGCAGCACGACTCCTGCAGAGCTGTCACGTCTCATACTCCACAGGAGGCTCGCGCCCTTCACTGCAGCTTTGCCTGTTTCGTGTGTTTTTAGTACAGTTCCCTGGCCCTTCGCGTCCCCTGTTAACCCATGTACCAGGCTCAGCGAGTTGGCCGGATCTGTGATCTGGTGGCTGCCCATGTGTGGTAGTGGAAGTAGCGGAATGAGAGGCCGTGGTTTTGCAGTACAGAGCCTGTACTCAAAGTTGTAGCCACTTGTGATAGCTCCTTCAAAATGAGTCTTTGTAGAAACGCCATGGAGGTATGAGCAAGATGAATGGCTAGAGAAGATTAGGTGAGTGAATTTCCCTTTCCAATTAACTCTTTTTGCTTGGGCATCTTCCTGAATGTCCTTCCATTGCCCTCAGTGGGTTTTGTATGAATGTACCTGAGAATGGAGCAGCCCCTCAGTCCTCTCCTTGGCTGTTGGAGAAACTCATGACTACCCTGATTATACAGAAATTGCAAAAAGCTGTTTAGCCCCCACAGAGCCCTCACAGGCTAAGACTTCACTGAGACTTGAGCAGTTATATTTGCCCACTTACTGAGGAGGTCTAGTGATTTCTGTCAGAGAGAAGTCAGTTATCATCTTTCTCTTGCCAGTATATTCTGCACAGGATGAAAATGGGAACATCTGGTTAAGTGCTTCTAAAATATTTCATGTTTCCAGTTTGTCTTTCCACCATTCAGACAGGAGTGAAACCTTGGACAGATTGTACGTTGTGCCTGAGGTATGCACTGGATATGCGACAGTCAGTTCCTTACCATTAGATCTTAGCAACAGCAACCAAAAGGTGATCTAGGCCGAAGTAGAAGAGAGCTGGGACAATACCCCGATCTCAGAAAAGTTTCAGTAGACTTATAACGGTGTAACCAGAGGTAGAATTTAGCTTTTCAAGCCTATATATGCAAGTGTCATGATAGGAATATGCGATAAACACAAGTAAATTCCTAGCTTGTAGATTCACATCGTCAAATAAGCCCGCAAATCTTACTAGTGAATACCTTACTTGCATGTGCGCTTATGGTATTTACTTACAAAATGTATTATACTTAAATTTAGGACTTGAAAGTTACAGGAAATCATGCTCCTTCTGAATACTGAGGGTCTGATATCTTTATAGAATATCCTCTGGGGCCACATCTACAGCTTCATATACTGACGAAACAAGCAGAACAGAAAAAGACCAAACAAATAACTCTCCACAATGTGCTTTTGTTTGCGCTCTACTAGCCTTGTGAAATTTTAAGCCAATTCTTTCTTGTCCTTGCAGTATTCTGGTTTCCAGCAGTCAGCTGACAGGTGTTTCATTTGTGGTCACTTGATAATGGACATGGTAAGTGATAATTGCGTTAGGAAAAAGAAATCTCCCAGCTTTTTAGAAGACTGCATCAAGAGCAAAATATATTCATATCCAGTACTATCTATTTTCATATTAGTCTGCGTAGTGTGAGATTGGTGGGAGAAAGAAAATCTGCTAAGCTGTTTGTTCATCCTTGCAAGGAACTGAAGCCAGCACCCAGCTGTGTGGTACAGAGCCTTTGCTCTTCCTGTTTTCGGTGCAAGCTGAAAAGCAGAGCCTGCAGCTCCTTCATCCCCTTTTGGGACTCCCTGGACAGTGCATTCGTAATGCTGCCTGTACTTCCTGCTCAAAAGTGCAATGGTTCTGCAGTACTTTCTTGCTTGTGAGGCAGCAGTGCTCCCTTGCTGAGCCTGTCTTCTCTTAGTCAAGCTGTGGGTTCCCATATAGCTTACAAATGAAGCTGCTGCCTTGTTGCCGCTTCTTGTGCGTGCTGGAAGGCACTGGACTGATATTCTGGGGAATAGGTTTGGCCTAGAGTATGTGATTCGAGCCTCAGATTAGTCCAAGTCCTTGAAAACTGCTCAGCAGATCTGTTGTCATCCTGCTGAGGCAGGCAATTCCCGTTAGCCTACAACAGGTGCGTGCTCAGGGTTTGCACTGAGTGGGTCACATCTCAAAGGGTCATCTGATCCTTTTTCCAGCATCAGGCAGTATTCAGTTGTGGATCATTCAGAGGGAGATAAATTCATAATCTTGTAGTTGAAGGTGTAAAACTATGGCTGAGGCAAACAAGTGATGAGTTTCTAGGAGATCAGTTTACCACACTCTATCCAAGGTTTTCTAATGCTTACCGTTAATTAACTTAGCTTGCCTGGTTACGCTAGAAAGCATTAAAGTTGGAAACGTTATTTCATGCTCAGAAGTCTGATCACAAGGCTAACAGACCATGTAATTCCGCCCGTTATTTGCTGCTCCAAAGCTAACAGTGAATTACAGCTGTTGAGCTCAACACAATTGCCATGGTTAATTAGAAAGCCAGGCTACCGAGCACAAAGCTCCTAGAAATCTAAGAAGTTATGGAAACCTAGCTAAAATACTGTTTCAGCCTCTCTTGGAGAATGTAAAGATATATTTCCTTTTGTTGGTGTGGTACGTCTTGCCTTCTGATTATGCTAAGTAATCTCCACCTCTTGGCTTCAGAAATTATTTTTCCCCTTAAATTCTGTCACTTCTGTCCTTTGTAGTGCTAAATATCTTGTCTAAGACTATAAATTGTTTTCTTACCCATGCTAAAAATTCTGTTCTTTGGAACCAGACGGTATATATAGAGTCCAGCTGCCCTTTGTATCCCTGGTAACGCATTCTTTAGATGAGGTGCCTGAAAAAAGGCACAGCACTGCTGATGTAATACTATGAGTATGTTATTTTCACCTTTAATGCCTGTTCATGCATTCTTTTCCTGTCTCTTGCTTTATTGCAGATCCTGCAGGCTCTAGGGAAGTCATATCATCCAGGCTGCTTCCGATGTGTGGTCTGCAATGAGTGTCTGGATGGCGTGCCATTCACTGTAGATGCTGAAAACAAAATCTACTGTGTCAGGGATTATCACAAGTAAGGACAAAATCAACAGCAGAGTTGATCCAATCAACAAGCCTCTACGTTAACATTTCAAATAATTACAGCGTGTGGATTAGTAAAACAGAGGCAGGACTAGAAGCCAGAAGTTTGAGGATGGCACTCGACCCTAGAAGTTCCTGATGTCTCTCCTTGCCATGCCTCCAGCTTCCTGTATAACCATGAGGAAGTCACTTATCCCCTGGGCTTCAGCTACCCTTTCTACAAAGTGGAGATAGTGTTCACTGGTCTCACAGAGAACGTGAGATAGTCAAATAGTGCTCGTAAAGTGTTCAGTGAGTTCAGAAGTTAGTCCGCTCTGAAGTAAAGACTCTGAATCCCTTCTGAAATCAATGCAAGTTGTTTTTGAGAAGTTGCAGGGCTGAGTTTGACTTCTAAAGATCCAAAAATGTTAATAGCAATCACTGCTGGATATGCAAAGCAAATTTTTTATCCAGCTCTATTTAAACAACTGATAAATCCACTTAAAAATCACTTGGCCTTTACACAGGAAAATAAAAGGGCTGTGCTGCTCTTAGCTAGTAGTTATGATATTAGAGCTGCATACGTTTTGAGTGTCTGTTCGGCTCACTGTGTTCCTTGCTCCGTTTTCTGAGCAGGCAGAGTATTGAAATGTTGCTCAAGGACTCCCTGGAATTGTTCTGTATTGTGCTAAAATTTTAATTCAATTTGTGTGTCACTGTTGTTCTGAAAGGACACACATTTCCTTATAATTTAATTTAATTATTTATCAATTATAGTATATTATTTTTATTATATTAAAAAGCCTTAAGGAGCTTTACAGTGCATTGGTGTTTTCTCTCAGCATGATCCTGCCCCAGTGCAGGGGAACCAGTTAACTGGTTCTTTTAATATGTTCTTTGGAGGGACGGTCCTGCTCAGTGTCTCCCCATTCTGTCTTCCAAATCACCAAGTTGTTTTTGCTTAGTAACGGCTAAGAATTTTACAGTGATTTTCTTTTTCTGGGGCTGCTTCAATGTAAAATCTATTTTTGCCTAACTAACAATCTGTGCTAAGCATTAGTTACTTGGGAAAAAACAGGTCTTCTATAGGTGGCATAGGTATCTATAGTGACATAGAGAGCTGTTTGCAAGGCTGGGGCAGGACCCAATACAGAAAGGTCTGGGCTTATTGACCAGTAGTCAATTCTGTGTCGGTCAGCGGAATATGTAAACAGCAGTTAGTCATGGATCAACTATAATATTCATTTGTAAACAGAACACTATTGCACTGATGAATTAAAAATGATCAAGGCAGCCCTGGGATCTTTTTTTTCCCCTCCCCCCCATCTGATGTCTTTAGGAAACACAAGGCCTGCAGAGTCATCCTTTGGGTGCGTTTGTCTGTCCCTGTGTGCATGCACCTGTCCTTGATTTCTCCCCCGCAGTAACAACCCAGAGGACTAACTGGAGACAGACATGGAGATGTTCAATCAATCCTAAAATAAAATTGCATTTTTAGGATCAAAAGCTTTCCTGTAGATGAGTTATTTACAGATGTAGCTTTTCATGTTATCACTGAGAACACGCGTGCTTTTTCTTTAATGTTGATTTGTAACTTGCCTTTTATTTCTCGTTGCTTTTCCAGAGTTTTAGCTCCAAAATGTGCAGCCTGTGGACTTCCCATTCTGCCCTCTGAGGTGAGAGCCTTTTATTTCTTATTCCCTGTGGGTGGGGAGCATTTTATCTAAGGTCTTGCTCTCCTTCACTCTTGACCCTGTGTCAAGAGATGTGTCCTTGCGGTTTGGGAGGCGACAGCTTCCTCCAGATTGCAGCCTTTTGGCCTAGGATCGTACACTGTGCTGGAGATATGACCCTTCTTTTGCTCAGTAATGCAGCTTATTCCCACTAGGCCAGGCTACTTTTCTTCATCTCCTGCAAGATTATGCTGCTTTTAGTATTATGTTGGAATACCTTTCCTTCGTGGCAATAAAAGCTGGTGTGATGCTTGTGAGTGACCTTTTGTGACACCTCTGCGACTGACTCATTTTAATACTTGGAAGAGATGCATCTTTGGCAAAACCAATTTAAAATGCTGAGACACCTGATGTACTGAAGTCACCAAATCATTAATGAGTAATTTGGGATACGTGTGACTGGTAAATGGAGAGGATTTGACATTTCGGATGTTAAGTTATAAGGGATGTCTGCAGTCTGTTGATGATGAAGCTTTACTATAAAAATAACTGCAGGTGGCAGGATTTATTTGTGGTTTCCAGCCAGCAACCCAAATGCATTTGTTCAACGTTCACATTATTGCAGGAAGCAATCTACAGAGTCTGATCCTCCTGTAATCCTCTGGCTCTGTAATTTCTCTTCTGCTTGAATGCTCACAGGGGTCTGATGAGACCATTCGGGTTGTGTCTATGGACAAGGATTACCACGTGGAATGCTACCACTGCGAGGTAGGTCAGTGGCTTTCTAAGGGAATGGGCGCTTAATAACCATAACTAGTGCTGTTTTAGAAATGAAAGTAAGTCCTCTTCTGCGCAGTGGCAGTAGCTGAGCAATTCAGAGCTTGCGTTGTGAGATCCCTACTGCCTGTTAATCAGTGCTTGAGAAATTTCCACTTTGAGGACAAAAATTTTCCAGAGTCCCTCTGAACTGTGATTTGATTTGCTGTCCATAACGTTATGGGCAAAGAATTAATTATTGCTTTTAAAACTTGGCAGTTTATTTGTTAATGAAGGAAATGTGGTGAATGAGTAAGGTTCTATTGCTGCTTTTTAGAAACCTTGAGCTCCAGATCACATTAAGGTATCTGATTTCCAAGTCAGATTGTTCGAAAATGCTCAGGTGATGACTAATCCTATCCGGTGTAAGTTTCCTTCACTCTCCTGGAAACTGATCTGTGGGCAGGAGGAGGGGGAGGTTATGTCTGCAGAAAAAATCCCAAGAAATGTCATGTTTTAAACATTTGTTTGGACTCTTTGCAGGGTTTTCCAGAGAGCCTTCATATTTCTGCACTGTGAGTTAAAATAAATAGATGCCTTCCATCACTGTGCTCACAATGCAGTGGAAGGAGGCCCTGACTCAACAGGCCAGTTTCACATCAGTACAACTGCAATTAAATTAATGTGAAGTGGTGAAGCCTAACTGAAGGTATAAGGAAGACATGAATATATTTAAAATACAAAGGGATATCACTGTGAGATAAAACTTTCTAATTAAAACTTCTCAAAAATTCATACAAGGCTACCCTTCAAAATGCCTATGGCAGATGTTTTCCTTCTCATGACAAGTATAAGTACTAAGGACTTACTGGCTAGTGTCTTCTCTCCCTGTCCCAGAATCCTCCTCCTGGGAACCAGACCTCAGTTGACACTGGAGGGTAAACCCATATTCTAAGAATTCACGCGGCCTCTCTTTGCAGGACTGTGGGATGGAACTCAATGACGAAGATGGACATCGCTGTTACCCGCTAGATGAACACTTGCTTTGTCACTCCTGTCATCTGAAACACATAGAGAACGGCACAACCCCAGCACCTGTGTACCAGCATCACTACTAGCCAGTGTGGCCTGTTCCTGAAAGCCTTGACGGAAGACTTGTTACATGATCTCCCTCTCCCATCCTCAGCTGATTTCCTGTGCATGTTTTTCTCCAATCACCAATTTTCCCGTAACAGGATAGAAGAGATTTTTTGCTGGATTCTCAGAGTTTATATGCTTCTGAGTTCCAGCTGTGTCTGTCTACATGACCGAGAATGTGGCATGTTACCCAAACTGATCAGTTTGTTTTTACGTGCCTTTCTTTGCTCTCCGGAGGTTCCTTTCTGCTCATTTTGGAAGATTCTTCGGTAAAAGCACAACTTGCTGTCATGTCTATGAACTCAGATCGTAAAGCCAGAGGCTGGCCTGCCTGCCTACTGGGAACGTTCCTTCAGTCTCTTAAGTGTTTTCCGACAAGCACGTTGCATCAAATTCCCCCAAGGATATCAACTTATTAATACCAATTGTTAGGCAATCTCTCTCTCCTTTTAATTCTTTAGGAAGAGAAAAGAAAGAGCTCTGTTCAAAATAGCATGCTCAGACCTTCTGGTTAATTCCCAGAACTCCGATACCAGTCTGGCTTTAAAAGGCACCAACTCTCCAAGCACAAACCAGCCATGCTGACTGGCAGCCGGCAGCTGACATCCCATTTCAAACAGAACAAAAAACTGGAACAAGCTAGGCTAAGCTACTGTGGTGACTTTGGGCCTGGGCTTGTGCGTCAGCATGATATGCGAGGGCCAGTCTGCTGTATTGGGGTCTGAATAGCAGATTATATTTGGAAGGACCTGGATGCTGGAAGTGTGAACAGTGGGGAAATCTCTCTCTGTTGTTGTTTGCAGAAATCACTTTGGAAAAAAGCTCTCTGCACACAGACGTTTGTCTGAGCTTTCCCCGCAACTCAGTCCCCAGCCTGGCCACTCCTTTCCAGAGTGTTTACGCAGCACAAAGCCGTTTCGTAACGGTGCTTATTTAGAGTGCTGGGAACAAACTCAGGATCGTGATGAAGGCTTTGTTATACAGGGATTTAGAGCCCAGCTCCGCAACCTGTACTCAAATGAGTCCAGTCATTGGTATAAACAGATGCTCACGTGAACAATAACAGCTTATCTGAGCAAAGGGTGAGGGAGTTTGGCCCTTATTTTCTATTCTGTTGAGGAAAGCAGAAAGGCAAATTGTTTCCCATTTCGAACCCCCTTGCTTTGTAGTCAAAGGACTCTGCTCCCCCAGTATGTGTTACATATATGATAGACGTACCTGCAGTCTTTGTTCCTGTACCAGTGCTATGCAGACCCTCGTATACAGGTACCAAGTTTTTGTTTAAGAAAAAGCTCTTAATTTAAAGTCTCAGATGCAGTTTGAGGTCTTGCCTGCCCTTTTCAGCACATATTATGTGGGAAACTAGTTAAATACTCTTACATCCACGCTAAAAAGTTCAGTTCAGTTCTGATGGATAGTGGAGTGGGATAACATTCTTGAAGATCTTTTTAGTGAGGAAACTATGGTAAATTAGTTGAGCAGTGGTGTTTACACACCAAAAATAAGCCTAAGCCGAGTACCCACCATGATTCAACCTAGCGTCTTTCCTCGTAGTATGAACATAGTTGGGGAGATGATTGAACTTCATACCGTGTAGTCAAATCCCACCTCATGTACTCACATGGAGGAGTACCTTTAATTCTCAAAGCAGTCCTTCAGGGCTGAATGGCAGACTTGCAATGTTAATTACTGTGAAGTGGTAAAGTCTGGCCTGCACTTGAACACCAGTATGAGTAGTACTTCTCTGTACTCCCTCTCTCTCTTTTTTTTTTAACTGGGCGCTGCCATAGCAGGACAGAAAGGGCCGTGTCTTGCAAAGCATGCCCTGTGAGTTGCTTCGCCCTCTCTCAGCTGGAAGGAGGTCCAGACTCGGCCTTGGGTTTTTTTTTTTTTTTATATCTGTCATGATAAGGCATTTTGACCCAATGAGCAGTAGTTCACCTTTTCCTTGCCAAACCAACAGCGTTTCCAGCCACCTCCGCAAACCTTTTGCCCTCTCCTTCCTGCAAGTACGAGGTGCAGGAAGCAGCCTCTCTCTTGTGGTGCTAATAAATGCCACAGCTCTCTGTTTTATGTGGGGCCAGTTGCTATGCTAAGGCTTAAGTAGAGGCACAAGCATCTGCTTTAAGATGGATGGGGGATAGCGGCCTGTTAGCAGCCTTCTGCATGTGTGTGTCAGCTTGTTGCGACTGAAATGCGAACACCGTGCTTTGGCCTAAAATTGCTCAGGACTCCCAGGTTCAGTGGTTTTAGCGTACAGTTTGGTCAGGTCAACACATGATCTAGTCTGCTGCCCCCTCCATCCATGAGCACTTCTGCCCCTGTTTCTGCTGCTTTTCAGGATGGCGAAACCAGCACGAGGCTTGACAGTGTTGCTGCAGGGCAAACAGGCAAGATTGTTAACCTAGGTGTAGCTTGGCTCTGAAACACTGCTTCTGCACGTGACTTGCAACCCCACGAAACACTACCGAGGATCAGGAGTTAGCAATCACATGGAGGGGAATATCCCTCTGCAGTATATGTGGCTCTGAGGCATATATAGCTATGGAGGGTTTTACTCATGACTTTAGAGGAGGTGAAATTGACCCCAAATGTGTCAGCTCCCTATAGCCTTTAATTGGACCTCCGTTTGATGAATAACAAAAGGGTGGGAGCTGACACAGCATATAAGGGGTGCTACATCTAGACAGCATGAATCAGGTGCAATAAAATACAGAGGGCCAGTATTGCAAGGTGCTGAGTGCACTCATCTCAGCATGCGATGCAGGTGAGGACCTAGCACTTGTCTCCTGCATCTGCAGCTAGGCCCAGGAGGGGTTTAAGCCCTGACTGATCTTAGGACTATCTCAAGTTGCCGAGGTGGGAAATAATGCCAGCTGAATGATCCCTAGTAAATAATTCAGCTAATCCTTGGCAAATCGTTCCTCACTGAGCTTTCTTTGGCAGTGAAGACAGCGCATGAGTATGATAAGAAAGTGGCTTCTGGAAGTGAACTTGAAACACCAGCCTTGGTGGGTTGCTCCGTCCTTGAGAGCTTGGCTACTACGTCACTAAAGCTTTTGTTAGCTGTTTGAGAGCGGTCTCTATGCACGTGTTTTCTGGCCTTCATTTTGGGAATACTGGAAAACACTAACAGGACTGATACTCTTTTGAACAAGATGATCTCCGTTGTTTTAGGGCAACGTCTAATGTAGGAGCAGCAACAGGGCAGGAGGAGAAATGCTCTCGCAAGAAATCTGCTCGTGACAGTTTACAAACGCCCATGGAAAACTTTCCAATGACATCCAAGTACAGTACAGCTTAATCTCTAGATACCAGCTTTTAACATGGGAGGTTTAAGCTATTGTTTCACTCTTACAGAATCCCCCCACCCAAATAAGCAGGAAAGAAAGGGGAGGGGAAGGCTGAAAATTGTCCTTTGTGGAAAGCCTCAACTAGCCGGTTTGCTCTGAGCTGTCTTGCAGGAGACTCCTTTGAATCAATGGAAAGTTTGGCCTCTTGTTTTCACATGGTGACTTATTACACCTATCAGCCATCCTGTATTCCTCAGCACTGAGGAAACGAAGGTCTGTCCTACTTTCAGTTCTGAGGTCCTGGATAAATTATTAAGGCAGTGTGAATGCTCACCTTCGGTTTATTTACTAAGAGCTAGAAATGACAGTGTGGAGCTCTTGAAAATGGAGTGTCTGAGTCCGTGGTTTTGAAGCTAAAGCATATACTGCTTTGCTCACCTATGTGTTACGTTGCTTATGTGTTTGAACTTGCCCTGCTTTTATCTTTGAGAGTTTGAATTAATTTAAGCTCGTTATTCCTGTCCTCCGCAGACAGGTGGCTCCTCATCCGCTTTAATATCTGAGGTCTGTTTTCTAGCCCTATCTGACTTACTCCCTGACAAACGTGGAGGTGACTATGAAGGGGAACGTGCAAGGCTGCGAGTGCGCCCGCTCCCGCTTCTCAGCACTGTGAAGTGTCAAGCCAGAGCCAGCCCCTCTTGTGTTCAACTTCAGAGTCTTCGCTGGGCCTTCTGCTGTGGTCATTTTGGCCAGAGAGGAAGATCAAGGCCTAACTGGGCAATTCAGAATTCTGCTTCTACAGAAGAACTTCAGAAAACGCGTGTCAAATTCTGCCCATCGCCTGGCCTATACGTATTGCTTTCTGCTGTTCACACGAACCTTGTTGTCTTTTATTTATTGAGATATGAAAAACCGTCAGCTGCTCTGAAAAGTTCATCTAGTCCTTAATTCCTAAACCAGCTTGCTCTTTTGAGTTATTTTAGGGTAAGGGATGCTTGGAAGTCCCACTGTGGTGGTAATTAGTAACTCAGGTGGAAATAGTTACTGAAATGAGTTCCCTAAAGCTTGCTTTCAGGAACCAGAGTGTAACAAGATATTTGGCTCAGGTTAAATTTCTATTGTTTAGAATATGGAAGCTCATTTAAATAGGGATTTTTGCTTAAAAGCCAGAAGAAAAACTCCAGCTGTAGAAGAAGCAGATATTTTTATGTATTTTCAAGTATATGAAGTGGTTGGGGTCAAAACTTTTCACGAAACTGCTTTGATGTTAAACAAAGAGAGTAGCTTTTTAAAACACCCAAGGGAAGAGTGTTTGATGAGCCACAAGTCTTAGGGGTCTTCAGTTTCTAAGTCATTTGGGGCCTTTTAAAACGCTTTCCCAGTCTTTCAGAGTTCTGTCAGTATTTTTTTACAAAGTGAATAGCTCCTGGGTCTGGAAACTCTTGAGTTACATCAGCAGTCAGGTTTGTTACGGCAGACTTGAAAGGGGGAAGCTAAACTGGTAAGAGCTGGTGTGCTTCAGGTTAGCTGCTTAAAAGAAAGAGGTCTCTTTGGCTGCCAAGAGAGTAAATATTTTCTTGTCCTTTTTTCTTGTGCTGATTTTTAGCACCGGGCAAATATTTTGCAATCAGTATTGGCATCGGTTTCGGTATTTGCTGTCTTTTCGGTCTGTTTCTAAGAGCTGGTGAGACCACCACTTCTCCCTCCCATGAGTTCACAGCCCTGGGGGAGAACTGGAGGCTCTTTCTTGTTAATTTAACGAATTTAGTCCCTGTTTTGCACTTCTGCATTTCCCTGGAAATTTTGTCACTCGATTAGGGCAGCAACAGCAGAACTGGGTCCTTGCTTAAAAAAAAAAAAATTACACATACATCTTTACTTGAACCTGTTGACCCGATCCTCCAAATAACCTGAATATCAGCCTGCTGTTGATCGATTCTGCACTCTGAGATTGCTCCTGTTGCTAAGAAAATCACGTGAAGGACTCTGCATTTCACTTCAAGTGCATAAACAGTCCCATTGAAGCCAATAAAGCTGTGCACACAGATGAAAGTAAATATGTGCATAAGTCAGTGCTGGATCAAGGTCAGAGTTGGTTTTATTACAGGCAAGATACACCTGGAAATAAATCTGCTGCAGTGTAATAGTTGCCATGAAATCATCACTAAAATGTACTGATGACTTTTTGCTCAATAATTTACGTGGTAAAACAGTAGGGGCACATAGGGAAAGTGATATGATTTTAAAAATACAGTGGTTTTAGGGAAAGGAGAGCAGGTGACTGTAGATGTGTGACCCGTGCTGCATCCGGCCAAGCTGCTTTCTCTGCCACTGAGACACCACTGTGCTGACATGAAGTAGTTTTAGATGCCTTTTGTGAATGAACATGAGAAAAAGTTGCCTCTAGCTGACAGTGGTCCGTCTGGCTTCGTGGCTGTGAAACCTCTGTGAAACCTCCATGGGCTGGGAAGAGATATGGCCAAATACATGTCCTCTCCCCTTTTTCTTCCAAGACCGAGGCGCTGAGAGAAGACCAGAGGGATTTTCCTTCTCTCATCACAGAGCAACTTGTACATTTATTTTTCTTTTCTGTTTCTCCATCCTGCTGCTCGTTGTTTCTAGCTATACAGTGGTATTACGTGTACTTAATGAAGCCAATAGGGTAGACTTCTTCCTGTGGTGAGCGGTGAGACCCCTCCCAGAGCCGCTCACTGGCCTGTGTTCAAGGAGAAGCAAATTAAGCATTCCTTAGCAATAAAACCCCTCGTCCTGCTCTCTCGCAGGGCAGCCAGAAGTTCGCGTTGGCCTGCTAAGGCAAGACGAGAGTCGGGAAGAACTTAGACCCACGTGAATATGTGTAAGGTAGAGTCGCATGAAGGCAGACGATACGACGCGCCGCAGCTCTGGTGTTGCTCTCAGCCCCAGCGCCCTGGTGAATGGATAACCAGGCTGCGGTGTGCAGACGGTGCCGACGCTGACCCTTGTTCCCAGCCCAGCAGGTCACCCACGAGCTGCGGCTTTCCGCATCCAGAAAGCACACCGAGCCTGGCGAGCAATAACTCAATGGTACTAATTTTTGTTGTTGTTGTTTCCTTAAGAACTCCACTCCAGGAGAGAGTATTTTAGAATTTCTGCTGGTGTAACTAACCTTAGCCACATGTGAATATAACCCTCTTTTCTCCTATGCTGTTAAATATTTATAAAGGATGACGGCCTGTAGTGATGGCGACGCTCCTGGCCTGTTGTGATTTCTGTGATTAAAAACAATATAGTAAAGCGGTGCTGAGTATGAGGTCTTTCCTCAAGTGACGATGACTACCTCATTGGTCTCCAGTGTCCTTACCACCCTCAGAGGACAGTCCTCCTGGAGGTGCAGGCGACCCGCAAGCAGCGGTGCTGGCCCCTCAGACCTGCCGCGGAGGGCCCCGGGGCAGGGCAGCGGCATGGGCAGGGGGACGGTGCCGTACAGGACCGTTTTCTGGGCAGTGCTGATGGGAATAGCTGAGCAGCAGCACAGCAGCATGAAGCACAGAGCTATCAACTCAAAGCACAAAAGCTCCCTATAGGATTACCTTTAATTACACCTTAGAGCTCCCCTCCCCGTTCAGGGTAAAAATTTCTTTAAAGCCCTGCCCCAAAACATTTGCAAAATCCCCATACCTTTCCATTGTGCAAAGCCGGCTGCAAACACGAGTGGTGCAATGCCAAATCCCACAGCTGGTTTGCCTCGTCCAGCGTCCGCCCTGCAAGGGCAGTTAGCACCTGAACCTTCAGCAGAGGACAGAAGTAGCTACTCAGTTCCCGTCTGCGGGAAGGTGTCCTCTCGGGTTCCAGCTCGGTGGGGACGAGCAGGGAAAGGGTGAAGGGTAAAGAGCATCTTGTTTTCACCCCTCTGCGTCCTAGACCTGCGGAGCAAACTGGAAGAAGCCAAGGGCACGGGCCGGCAGAGGCTGGCACTCCTCTTCCCAGGCTGCGGGGCCCACGGCAGGATGATGTGAAGGGCATGATAATCTGCAAAAAACGGGGCAATATATCTAGAGGGAGACCTGGGCTTGCAGGGAGAGGCGGTGTGTTGATGCGCTGGTGTCTGGGCACACGGGTGGTATCCCCGAAAGGGTGGGTAAGGAGACCTGGAAATTAGGTCCGTGGGGCTAGGAGGTGGCTGCTCCCACCCCTCAGCACCTACCCGCCTGGGCTGAGGATGGGAGCAGGCTGGGGACAGCAGCAGGGCGCCAGGACCGCTCGGGCACAGGTGGGGACGAGCCCCCGCTGCGGCGGCCCCTTCCCCTGGGTGCTCGCAGCTGCTGAGAGCAGCGCACCTCATGGCCTGGCAGGCGAGCTGGGGCAAACCTGGGGCAGGTGGAGCTAGTCCTCGAGTCTGTCCCTCCCAGAAAATTCTGTGATGGTGACCAGCAGAAACCCCCAAAGTACCCCAAAGTTCTTCAAAAGTGACCCAGAGTACCCCGAAGCTGGAGGGCAGTGGGAGAAGAGCGCAAGCTCGTGCCATCCTGTGCCAACATCGGGATCGGAGGGGCTTGAGGCTTTTGCCTTCGGCCCCCCGACAGACCCCCTCGTGGCTGTGCATGAAAACGGTGTGCAGGCCGCTGCCCAGGTCGGGAGGGATGCTGGAGGAGATACAGGCAACACTCCCTGGTTGGGCACTGGGGAAGCGGAGAAAAACAAAAAGTGAGCAGCCGAGCCAGCCAGGAGTCGAACCTAGAATCTTCTGATCCGTAGTCAGACGCGTTATCCATTGCGCCACTGGCCCCGCTCGACAGCAGCTCCTTACAGC